TACCTTAATTAGAAGGCTACCTATATACCCCAGAAATTCAGGAAATCGTACCTGGAATATTTATGTCTTTCCTCATGAAAAGCATATATCTTGATTTAATGAGTTCCTGTATATAACATCTGATCTACATAAAAAGCTGTTAAGGACAAGGCAAATTTAAAATTAATGTTTATATGCAGGTGTTACTGCTTTCGTGGATCCTGAGGAAAACTTAAGAATGAGCTCTGTGTCCTTCAACCAGGAGAATTCTTTTCCCTGCCTTTAAAGTTTATATCACTTAAATTAAAAAAAAAAAATTGGGTGTGGTCTGCCCTGGCAGCAAGTTAGTTCAGGGAAAATTAGTACAATGAACTGGAGAGAACTTAAAAGTAGAATGTGACACTGCTGTATTGAGTGATGCATCCAGCTTTGTCTTATCTGCAAGTTACCTGGCATACCCCTTGTAATGTGTCTGTGGATCTTACTACTCAAGACTGTTTTCAAGTGCAAGGTTTGGTTTTTTTCTGACTTTTATAAGATGGATAGTAGCTGTAAAATAACTAAGTTCTATAAAATGGTTGCAAAACGTAACCTTAGAATACAAGAGTCTCATGTTTGTCAAGTAGGAACAAATGTTGATTGACTGCTGTCTAGTTAAGTGTGCTTTTTTTGAGATGTATTTATTTTACTTGCAGTTGAGAATCGAGTTCGTCCATTAGTAGTTGTTGTTAAGAAGTGGGCAAGTTTTCATGACATAAATGATGCCAGTCGTGGTACTTTAAGCAGCTATAGTCTTGTCTTGATGGTTTTGCACTATTTACAGAGTAAGTATTTTTTATGTGTTTCAACTGTCCCTTTTAAGTTTGTATTTGTGTAGCTTTTCCTTTTTAATAAAACTGAACACCAGCAGGAGTCATCGTGCACACAGAAAAATCTGAAAAGAAAGTGAGTTTACTCCATTTCCTAGTGCTGAATCTTTCTTTAACAAGTGGACCTCTTCTCTGGAGGCAGTTACCAGCTTTAAAAAGGTGTGAAACAAAAAAAAAAGTACCAGCAGGACACTGTGTAACTATAAAATACACCCAAGTGCTGGTTAACAAAAATCCGCCTTTTAAGAAGGGGAAAAACCTAAACATAACTTCAGTGGGTTTTGGTTTATGGTTGTGTTTTTTTTTATTTGGGAACTTCTAAGAAAATTCAAAGGGACAATAAATGCTGTGGGGTCATTTTTCTGTCTTCTGGTAAGCAAAAGACTGAATGTGAGGGACATGTATATATGAATCCATGTAGTTAGATTTTTTCCCACTGATTACTTCTGTAAGGTGACAGATATTGAAGACCATTAGAAGTTGGTACACTTCACTGCCAGTGACAGTATCTTTTCTTGTGACTCCAATATATTGAAACATTGAATGTCTGCGTGGAGCTGGAGAGCTTTATCTGAGAAACTAAGGATCCCTGCTGCAAATGCAGGAAACCCATGCAGTCCAGAAATGTTTTTGAGGAATAGATTGAAATGAGCCTATCCCCTCTAATGAAATAAAGAAATGGGGAAGTCCACAACTGTGATTTTTGTAGTTTGTGATTCTTGCTTAAGGCTTAAGGATTGTAATTTAAGAAATTACTTAGTTCAGTATGAGTTTCTTGGCTCTTTATTGGGAGATAAGTGGCTTCAGAAAGGAAGGCAAGGAACCCCTGTACATTTGTGGAGTTACATGCTTGTGGAAGTATTTTTTAAATTCCTGTCAGTTCAAGTATAGACTGTGTATTTTGCTGCTAGTATTAATTCTACACCTTTGGTTTAATTTTTTGTAATGTGCTGATTATTCTTGTTCATGTCATTTTAATGACAGCTGGTTCTTACCATCATAAAATGTTCTTTATGATCATATCAGTGGACAAATTGCATAGGCTCTCATTTTAGACTTTTCCCCTTTGTCAGTTTGTGTAGGTTTCAATTTATTCTTTTAAATCGGGTAGAAACAATGTTTAGCTCCTCTGACAGATTGTTTAGCCTGGAATGTAGATACCTGCTGTAGAGTGGCTAGCCAACTATTTATTAGTTTCAAGATCATGCTACACCGACTCTGTATAAGGGTGGAAAGCTTTTTATGATAGTTGACTCAAGCTGGTGGCTTGCTTTCAGCTGAACAGTATTTGTAGTAGAGGACCTAGGAAGGAGTCTTGTGTATCTGGGATCCAATTTGCTGGGTTACTTTTGAATTCTTTGATGCCTATGCTGTGTGCTTATTAATGTACCAATCGTGAGGACAGCTGTACATAAGCTAGTCTATCCAGTGACTGTTTTCTTTCACTACGTCTACTATGGTGAAATTCCATAGATTTTATTTTCTTTCCACAGAACGAAAGAAATGTGGCTAGGTCTGTTTCACAGCTCTGAAACCATACTGTATGTGACTGAGTACTTCAACGTAGATCCTTAATACACACCAGGAGAGAAAACCAACCAAACAAAAAATGTTGATTTGGAGGCGATTAAATGACAATTAACTTAAAAATGCCAATGTGACTATTAGACAAAAGATTGAGTAGTTCCCAACATTTTCAATGTGAAGATTGCAATGCAAAGGTGAAGCACAAGCAGGAGAGGAGAAAAAGTATCTTTACATGGTCTAGCAATTAGTGACCCTCTTAACAGTGACTTGATAAACATTTGATAGTTAATGTTACACTTGTAATGGGAACTAGCCTTTTCATTTGGGCACTTATTCTCCAAATCTATTTTCTTTGTATCACAGTTATGCTAGAAACTTGTATTGGGTGCTGTATGCAGTCATGGACAGCTAGTGATCTGTGCATAAAAGTAACATGCAAAAGGAAAGAGACTAGGAGTTACAAGGAAATATAAACATGTAGCCTTGCCAGAATGTTAACAACCCTGCAAGCATGAGGGCACTTACTGTAGTCATTTGTAGCAGCTGCCCCAGCTATCTAGGGAAAAAAAAAAAAAGTTCAAATAATCCTTTTCATGAAAAAATGTGATCAGTCAGCTGCCTGGGAAGGATCAGCAGTTTGCAGACCAAAGAGGAGCCTTTTACCTGTGCTTCATCAGCCTTTTCTGCTAAAAAAGGCTGAAGTGTGGCTCTGGACATGTATCTAGCACAAGCTGTTCAGATTCTGATGTTTTATTCACGCAGATTTTAACTTGCCCCCCACCATTTCTGCTACATGCATGTAGCTACTGAAAGTAGCTTGTGTCCTAGTCATAGAATTTCTAATAGAACTTTTGTTGATGTTACTGGGGGGGGGGTGATAAAAATAAAAGCTTTCTTTTGCAGTAAATAGTGTCCCTGCATTCACTAGGCAAATTTCTTTCCTTTGCTACTTAATCCATTTCCATATTCTTATATGGATGACTTATGGTTAGTGTGGCTTGAGTTTATTTTGTAGATACATCAGTGTCTTGTACATGAACTTTCCTCCAGGTAACAGGTCCAACTATCTTGTACAGTAAGAACAGGAAAACTCATGTGGCAAATGTTAGTGGTAAGTGGTAACTTCTTCCCTTAACTCCATGCTCTTAGTGTAGCATGCAGACCCAGACAAAATATCTTGATGGCTTGTATTGCTCTGATTATATTGTCTTTTACTTTAGTGTGGCCGAGAACTGGAAATTATCCAAGGTGTTGCAGAAATAAGATGCTCTTGTGTATTTCTAAACACCCACAAACAAAATAAAAACATTATTAAAGCAACTGTGGTCATATTCTTACCAGTCCTGCTAGTTAATATTATATACTCTTCAAAGATATCCCAAGCATGTTCTGAGAATTCTGCTGTTCTGATTCTTAGTCCCTATAGAAAAAGGATTCTGTAACATCTCATCCCCCATGAGACTTTGTCTGAAGGGTGAATTAAGGCCCAAGTTAGTCCTGTATGCTGAACTTAATTATCATTCTCTCTAGTGGATGATGTAGACAAAGTCTTTAAAAAAACAACCAACATGCTAAAGACATGATATTAAAGCTTTAGTATGAGGACTGCTCTAACAGTTCTCTAGCTGTTCTAAGGCTTGAGTGGGATGTGAATACTTTAGGATTTTTTTTTTTGTGCCTATCTGTAGGACCACTTAACCTGGGAGATAATTTTTTTCCCTGTTACTTGTGCAGTAGATGCTCTTCCTATTCATGACTTTTCATAAGTTACAATTGCTTAGTTCATTTTGTGTTCGTTAGTATTGTTAATATCTGCATAATCTTTATAACCTGTTTGCTGTTCAGTAGACCAGCTAATAGCATTAGTGTTTTATGGGGATTTTGCTAGCAATGCCTACTAAGTGTGTTGGGCATTTTATCTTGGGTTACTTTTGGAGACTCAGTATGTAATACTTGGCAGCTGAAGAATGTGTACTTTTGCAGTATGTGGAGACTTCCTATGCTGTGATAGAATCATATTGTACTAGATGTAGG